ACCGGGGACTCCATTGTTCTGCTGGGGGACTTCAACGCTCACATGGACAATGACAGCAGGACCTGGAGGGGCGTGATTGGGAGGAACGGCCTGCCCGATCTGAACCCGAGTGGTGTGCAGTTATTGGACTTCTGTGCGGGTCGCAGTTTGGCCATAACTAACACCATGTTCGAGCATAAGGATGTCCATCGGTGCACGTGGCACCAGGACAGCCTAGGTCGCAGGTCAATGATTGACTTTGTAGTCGTATCATTTGACCTGCGACCATATGTTCTGGACACTCGGGTGAAGAGAGGAGCAGAGCTGTCAACTGATCACCACCTGGTGGTGAATTGGATCGGGCGGCAGGGGAGGATGCTGCGCAGACCTGGCAGGCCCAAACGAGCAGTGAGGGTATGCTGGGAATGCCTGGCGGGAGAACCTGTCAAGATGATCTTCAACTCCCACCTCCAGGAGAGCTTCGACCGCGTCCCGAGGGCAGAGGGGGACATTGAGTCCGAATGGGCCTTGTTCCGCTCTACCATTGTCGAGGCGGCTGTTGCGAGCTGTGGCCGCAAGGCCGCTGGGGCCAGTCGCGGCGGTAACCCCCGAACCCGCTGGTGGACACCAGAGATGAGGGGAGCCGTCAGGCTGAAGAAGGAGGCCTACAGGGCATGGTTGGTCTGTGGGTCTCCAGAAGCAGCTGACGGGTACTGGCGGGCCAAGCGGGGCGCAGCAGCGGCAGTCGCGGAGGCAAAAACTCGGGCGTGGGAGGAGTTCGGTGAGGCCATGGAGAAAGACTATCGATCGGCTCCAAAGAGGTTCTGGCAAACCGTCCGGCGCCTCAGGGGGGGAAGGCGGCAACTTGCTCACATTGTTTACAGTGGGGGCGGGGAGCTGCTGACGTCAACTGGGGACTTTGTCGGGCGGTGGAAGGAATACTTTGAGGAGCTCCTCAATCCCACCAACACGTATTCCAGTGAGGAAACGGAGCCGGGGGTCTCGGGGGCGGGTCGTCCAATTTCTGGGGCAGAAGCCACCAAGGTAGTGAAGGAACTACGCGGCGGCGGAGCCCCGGGGGTGGACGAGATTCGCCCTGGATACCTCAAGGCTCTGGATGTTGTAGGGCTGGTAGGTATCACACTCCTCAGCCTACCCGGTAAGGTCTACGCCAGGGTGCTGGAGAAGAGGGTCCGGTCGATAGTCGAACCTCGGATTGAGGAGGAGCAATGTGGTTTTCGTCCCGGACGCAGAAGCGTGGACCAGCTCTTTACCCTCGCCAGGATGTTGGAGGGGGCATGGGAGTTCGCCCAACCAGTCCACATGTGTTTTGTGAATTTGGAGAAGGCTTACGACCGTGTCCCCAGGGGCATCCTGTGGAGGGTGCTCCGGGAGTATGGGGTTGGTGGCCCTCTGCTAAGGGCCATCCAGTCCCTGTACTGAAGGAGCACGAGTCTGGTTCGCGTGGCTGGCAGTAAGTTGGACCTGTTCCCAGTGAAGGTTGGACTCCGCCAGGGCTACCCTTTGTCACCGGTTCTGTTCATAAGTTTCATGGACAGAATTTCTAGGCACAGCCGAGTGGTGGAGGGTGTCAGGTTCGGTGACGGGAGGATTTCGTCCCTGCTCTTTGCGGATGACGTGGTCCTCCTAGCTCCATCGAACAGTGACCTCCAGCTCTCGCTGGGACAGTTCGCAGCCAAGTGTGAAGTGGCTGGGATGAGAATCAGCACCTCCAAGTCTGAGGCCATGGTCCTCAGCCGGAAAAGGGTGGATTGCCCGCTCCAGGTCGGGGGGAGGTCCTGCCTCAGGTGTAGGAGTTTAAGTATCTCGGGATCTTGTTCACGAGTGAGGGTAGAATGGAGCAGGAGATTGACAGGCGGATTGGGGCGGCGTCAGCAGTGATGCGGGCGCTTAACCCGGTCCGTTGTGGTGAAAAGGGAGCTTAGCCAGAAAGCGAAGCTCTCGATTTACCGGTCGATCTACGTTCCAACCCTCACCTATGGTCACGAGCTCTGGGTAGTGACCGAAAGAACGAGATCGTGAGTACAAGCGGCCGAAATGAGTTTCCTCTGCAGGGTGGCTGGGCTCAGCCTTAGAGATAGGGTAAGGAGCTCGGACATCCGGGAGGGACTTGGAGTAGAGCCGCTGCTAGGTGGAGTTGAGCCAGTTGAGGTGGTTCAGGCATCTGGTAAGGATGCCTCCCGGACGCCTCCCTTGGGAGGTGTTTCGGGCATGTCCAACCGGGAGGAGACCTCGGGGCCGCCCCAGGACACGCTGGAGGGATTACATCGCCCGGCTGGCCTGGGAACGCCCGGGGGTTCCCTCGGAAGAGCTGACGGAGGTGGCTGGGGAGAGGACTGTCTGGGCTTCTTTGCTGAGGCTGCTGCCCCCGCAACCCGGACCTGGATAAGCGGAGGAAGACGAGTACAAGTACGAGGAACCGTTTTTGTCAACGTTTGTTTCCCCCGTTTTGTACAATTAATTATTGTTTAAAGTTTCAACAAGTTTCTTTTGGAGTGCGTGACACGTGTGTTTTGAAAACGACCGCGGACTGTCACCTGCTCAACGCATCAGTACCTTCAGTTGCCGTGACAATAATAGCCTTATGATTATAATAATAATGTCAAACTATCATTTACAGACCGATTTAACAGACGATCACTGCTGCCCGACCCGAAGGTCCATTTGCTGGTCCCGTGGGTTACGGGTCAACCCGCGCATCACTGCTCAGCTCAGTCTATAAGGCTGTACACAACAGTAAGGCTATAGACATTATATTCCATTCAGGCCGGCAGAACCAGCAGCGCATCGGCTCTACAGTGCACGACACTGCTGATTAACCATTTTATTGCAGCACAGAGTGTCTGCCAGCAACCAATTACTTGCAGAGGCTTCCTACAACTTGTTTCAACGGTTCCGATTTAATCAGAAGACAAATTAAAGAGGATGACTAGCCAATGTGAAAATCAAAAGAAAGCATAGAATAATGTACTGAAGGAGACTGTTGTGCCATCACATTTTTTTGTGGTTTGAGGGCAAAGATCCGGTCGCCGCTGTGCAAAACTCCGCAATACAATTCTCAAACTTGATTGAAAATCAATTTCAGAGTGGGGCTGGTTCGGAACGGCGGTGTTTTGGAATGGAGGGCTGTCCCCTGTTGGAACGTTGTGCGCGCACAGCCCTTCACCACCTGGATCCTAAAATAAACACCTGTTTTATTACATAATCATGCTTCCGTGTTGCCCCATTCATAAATATCCTATTTCTGTCATTCAAGTAACAAGAATTATGGTTTAATACTCTTAATTATAACAGCCAACTTATTGAAAAATGACGGGTTTAAATCATAATTAAAATCCTGTCATAATTTAAATCCCGTCCCGGACATAACGTGCACGGTTTCGGGCCGGGTCGGGCTGGATTTTTTGGGCCTGATCTAAGCTCTCTTAGCCGCTCTCGTTTCCCCTGAGCCGCCTCAAGAAGTGCCTGCTCTCGCCCTGCAGCTACGTGGAGTCCCTCCTGATCAAAACGCCACACCACATCTTTGCGCAGCAGGTCCAGGACCTCTGTAGCCTATGTAGACAGGCAGGCTGCATATCACATCAAAAGCATAGATCTATGCATTCATGATATGAAAGAGATAAATGTAAGTCAGACAAATTGAGTTTAAATTCAGATTCTTTATTTTTTGTTTTATGTTTGTGTACTACAGAGCCGCGGAGGGGCATTGAGAAAAAAATAAAACACACCAGCGCTAGAAATGTTTGATTGCGAACCAGATAGGCCTACAATTTGGCTCGCTTTTTGATTTATTTCTATTTTTTATAACTGGGGAGTTCTTACAATACGGTGCCAGGGTTAGTGGGGATTAGTGCTAGGTGCTGTTCGATAGAGCCAGACGGCTGAGAGTCTACTCTATGCTCGAGGCTATACCAGGCTGGTGAGGCAGTAACAGGTGCGCACAATTGAGTGCCTGCTGGAGGCTGTATCTTTCTCGCTATGGCCCCTCTCTGTATTTTACCTACGGTATGAGTGGAAGTGAAGAGTGAAAGTCTTTTTTACCGTAAGTAATGTAATATAGGGACCTTTGATTCGGCTTAAAAATAATGTGGCAGGAGGGTAAAAGTGGGGGGGCCAATGGCCCCCTGGCCCCCCCGCTTCCGGCACCGTTGGGTTTCAGTCAGCTCTGTCAGATGTGTAGTAAACCGGTCACTACAGGGAGCTCATTGTCTTATACTTGTGAAATGTTGATTAACTGTCAATTATTAGTAACTTTTAATTTGTTTATCCATTGTCTTCCATTTATCTGGTTCCAGGTTTTATTAATGTAATTAATGTAATGTCTCATTGTGTCATGCGGATTACTGTTAATTTATTATGCTGATCTGTTCTGTACGACATCTATTGCACGTCTGTCCGTCCTGGAAGAGGGATCCCTCCTCAGTTGCTCTTCCTGAGGTTTCTACCGTTTTTTTTCCCCGTTAAAGGGGTTTTTTTGGGGAGTTTTTCCTTATCCGCTGTGAGGGTCTTAAGGACAGAGGGATGTCGTATGCTGTAAAGCCCTGTGAGGCAAATTGTGATTTGTGATATTGGGCTTTATAAATAAAATTGATTGATTGATTGATTGATTAATTAATTATATCAGCAGTAATCATTGTTATATGCTGCTGGGAAGTCTTCAGGCCAAAATCGTCCCTACTGGTTTCCATCATACTTTCCTTCTTTGACCAGTGTGATTGGGAAACAGGTATTAAATTGCATTCTAAGTGGAATTAAAAAAGATCTTACACATCTTAAATTTAATTTGACAAACCAGCAGAAACCCTGTGCATGAAATGTTAGAGTGCAAACTACTTTGCATTGTTGCTCCCTCTTGTGGTTAAGACATGTATGTGATAATACTGACAAACAAAAAGGTAGGTACTGTAAATACCTACTGTAGATTCAATGAATGCACCTATGGATCAGTATACAGATAATCTGTGGGATTATGTTGTAACAGTATAAATGAAATGCTCTCCTTACCTGTGATACAGCGCACCAGGTCTGAGCAGCGCTGTGAGAAACTCCCCAGCAGACCCAGACCCAAATCCAGACTGTTCCACTGCTCTTGTTCAAGAGCTCAGGTCAGCCTAGCTTCACTCAATCTCTTATTTGTTAACTATAAAGTACTATTGGATTAAACTGCCTGTCACACTTTGCCCTCATCATCATAAAATTGTAATTATTACATTTCAGGAGCTTCATCCCCAAAAGCGTACCTCCCATGACAGCTGTCCCAGCACGCCATGATAAGTCCCTGGATGGGAGGGTGACTGACTTCACTCCTTCATCTGAGTGGAGGTACATGGAGGGCTTGGCATGTTGGAAATGAATGGATAGCTTGGAAAACAACACATATGTTTTTTTCATGAAATTATGGCACATACATTAAATTTGTAGCCCTTTAAAACCAAAATTCAGGTCATATGACATTCTAAGTAAATCTCTGTGAAGTTATTATTCTGAAATAACTGGGGCCTCTGATGTCTAATTTTTAACCGTCACAATATTGCCTTTTTGATTGACCCAAGACCATAAAAATAATTGTACATAATGATAAACAATAAGTGAATTGTGTATTTTCACCACTGTGTGTACACTGCTTTCACGTCTATGCACAAAGGCAAACAGTAGCGTATTCCACATGTTTACAGTAGCTCTTAAATCTGTACATACAGCCTAGCCCTGTACATTTTATAGCTGTACGTTGTTTTCTCTCCACTTATGAATGCAGCCATAACTTTTTTATTTCTTTGTGAAGTAATGTCTCCAAACTCTATTAACAAATCAAAGAGCTGGGGTCTCGCTCGAACGCTGCTGCTGGAACTACCGTTTTACAACCACAGTAAAACACTCAGTGCATAACATATATGCTTTTGTTCATCTCTCCAGCAACCACTCATAGTACAGAGATGCTATTGTTTCATACAGAGGCTCTGTGATATGAGGAGCTGTTACCTGTTAAGGTTTTTAACTTGTTTCCTTAAAGCTTTTGAACGGTTGATACATTTAACCAAGGAGGTGTACAGAATGGTGAGGGGCTTTTGAGTTTATGCCCCCCTAACACAAACATATATAAAGTGAGAGCAATATAAAGTCCTGATTTGTGTTACAGAAACTGTGAAGAACTTGTGCTGATATTATCGAACTACATTGCACGTACTGTATGTACATTTCAGGGCCCTTTCCAACACCAACCTCTCATCCTCGTCAATACCCCTGACTGGAGACCAGCAGACTGATGCGGACATCCTGGCCTTTATCAGAGCCAGGCAAAAACTCCTCAACAGAGCAGGTAACACTCACACAGGGGTTGATGGCTGCACAACGTAGAGTCTTGGTTCTGCTTGAGGTTTCTGCCTGTTAAAAGAAAGTTTCTTCTTTAATTCATTTGATTCGTTGCATCTCTGTAAATGAAAAGAGTACAGCCTAGACCTGCTCTATGAGGAAAGTTTCCTGAGATAAGTTTTGTTATGATATGGTGCTATAAAAATAAACACTGACTATACTTGACACACATACATCTACTTCACTTTTGGGGACATAACTTGGATATCCTAACACTTACCCTAACCTTAACTTAACCCTAACATTAACAAAACTTTTGTACTCAGTTGCTCAAGCTGTCCCCAATTAACTGGTCTTAAGTCTGAACGTGTTTCCCAAGGTAGCAAACTTAGGCACACACACACACACACACATTCTTGTACTTTTAACTTTGTTAAGACCCTCATTGACATAATGCATTTCTTACCCCCTTACCATATCCTTAACCATCCCAACTAAATGCCTAGCCCCAACTCTTACCCTTACCCTAACCTAAACACTAATTCTAACCTGAACCCTAAAACCAAGTCTTAACTCTCAAACAGACCTTTGAAAAAGTGAGGACCGGCCAAAATGTCCTCACTTGGCAAAAATGTCCTCACTCTGTTGCTAAAATACGTTTTTTGGTCCTCACTATATAGCATTTAAAAGTACAAACACACAGACACACACAGCAAGAAATGATGTAAGCTTTCACACAATATGCATTTTGCATTCAACGCTGCCCTCTGGTGGTGTGATACCTTACAACACTTCACCATCAATGTATTGCTTCAAGCTTATTAGAGTTGTTTTTAATTAACATACACCACATTCTATAGTATATGATCCATATTAGAAACTACCTGTAACATTTTACACTTGATGAGCGACCACTTACAAGCTGAGAGTGATTTCAGATTCAGTTTTGCTTTTTCTGGCAGCAGTGCGTGATGAGTAGGGAATGTCTATTTTGGTCAGGATCCCATAATTTCACACAAACACCCTCACCCCCTTTGCAGCCTCACGTTTTCTAGCTCCACAGCGACTCATCTTTTGCTCTTACGTAGTTCCTATCTCTGTTACACTCTCCCCTCTCCTTTGACCCTTGTGCAGCTGCTTACTTTGGCAGACAGAAAAGTGGACTTGGCTGTCTTGTGGCTTGCCACCAGATATGCAGAATGACTGAGGTCATGTGAACAGACGGAGCGCTGGCCAAATGAGCGGAGACAGCAGACAGAAAAACAGTCGGGCTGAGGAGCACATTTGCCCTCTTAAGTCTTTCTTTCTTTTCTTTCCCCACTTCAGGCAAGGAGGACTCATTTCATGCCTCTTTACCTTGGCATAGCGACTGTGTTTTGACAGGAAAGCCCCTCTCCTTGGTTGTTTGGTAACCCCTGTATGGTGCTATCCCTCCCATCAAAACAGCTTTTAAGTCACTAGTGCATGCTGGGAAGTGTAGGGAACCTGGCAATAAAAGAGACAGCCAGATTTCAGAGTGTAGGCTGTTATTGTAATTGAAGTCATACTTAGGGGATGTTTGATTCAGGGATTGTTACTCTGAGAATATTTTTTTTAGTTTTAGTTTTTAATTTTTAGGATCAAGAAAAGCTCTTTGTCTTGTCAAATTTCTAGATGGCTTATTTCTCAAACACTTCCAACTTGATGTCTAATCTGCCTTGTATTTTTTATGTATTTCAGACCAGCCTCAATAATAACATGAAGTTCTGATGAAGGCCTGAAGTTATCGTCATCTGACTGCTTGTGTGACTGCCACATCTGTCCTGAAAACGTAAATTAGACATGAATGACAATGTGTGGAGAAATCTCAACTGAGTCCAAAACATTTCTCATAAAAAGATCCCCCTGCCAAACACACATCCTGTCTGATTTTTACACACACTTGCTGGCCTCCCGGAAAGCACGCCAGTCATATAATGGGCAGCAGTATAAATCACAGCCTGTGCCGGCCATTTGATCTGAACAAATGTTGTCTCAAGATATCAGAGGAAGGAGCGGACAACAGGAAACCCGTCGGCTCCAGTAATGTGTTTAAAGAAGAAATGAATCATGACTATTTTAAATGGTCACAGGAAGTTTCCACATGCGTACATTTCATATTTGTGTCTGGTTTCATTTTATATGTACTTTGAACAACAGTGTAACACATGTTGGGTAAAATGTAAATAGAGGTATGTAGTATATTTGCAATAGTTTTCCTGATTGTTTCTGATATTCTGTAAAAAAGGATCTGCACAAATATCAATTGAAAAATAAATTTACACAAAATGCCATGGACCAAAATAGTGCAAGATGCCACAATTCTTATTACTGTAGTGCTTTGCAGCCTTTTATGAGTTACTTGGCCAGTGTACTTGACACTGACAAACACATAGTATGAGTTGTTTAGTCCCACATAGCAGCCCATCTGCCTTATCTGCCACGTGATTTTAAACCCAGCAGGAGCTTTACATTTCTGTGAACATTCTGCTAGCCAAAGTTGGTGTTTTCTTTATTCATCACTAATGCTAAATCTCTTTCTTACAGCTCTTCCTTTACAGTAAGTCTCTTGCAAATGGCAGTTGTAGTATGGGGTTACTTTGGCAAATTTTGCATGAAATTCAACTGGAAATGACCCTGGAAATGACCTCTCTAATGGGAATCTGATGCATTTTTCAGCCTGGACCCTATTTTCTCCAAGTTTTTGTGTCTAAGTGACTAATGGGAACAACCAATTTTTTTATTGGTCCAGCATCAAATGAGAGTGATGCAGCCTGGAGCATGAAACAGGCTGCAGTGCAACCAGTAACCAGTCAGTTTTTATCCACTAAAGGTACATTGATGGTAAGCTTTTGCCTATTTGGCAGCTACCAGCTGCAGCGCTCTCACTTAGTATTGGGGGAATTTAAAAATTTGTTAAAAAATAAATAAATAATAATAATAATAAATAGAGTTGTTTCCATTAATTACTTACACACAAAAATATAGGGACATAGAGCCATAAGTTTACCTTTAAAAGAATACTTCACCAGCTAAATGACCATTTGTACACCAGTCATTCACAGCATCACCTTTTCTCCCATGCCTTCACAGTGAACGAATAATCCAAAAACGGCGAGCATTCCTCATGAACTGAAGTATTCAAAAACATTACTTTTTAAAACACAGCAGTACAAATAGTCTTACGCACATACAATTAGCTTGGCAAGCACGTGCAATACGCCCATGCTCAAGCACAGTCAGTGCGTGTTTTGTATCGTAACATAATAGCAAAGATGCATGTGTTGGGGAAGTATTGAGCATATATAAATGAGATTTGGATGAGTTATGTGAGAGTTTGTAAATGGATGTTTTGATATAGTTTTGCTCAATTGTGGACCCTGATTACCTCAATCCTTGAAGAATATCCACCTTTTTTGGATCCTCCATTCATCGTGGAGGTGAATAGTGATTTTGAGTGTGAATTATTCTTTTAAGGGAGTCTTTACACATGTTAGCCATGACAGGTATAAAGCCAACCACAATATTTGGTTGCATCATTAGTTATTATTCTAAGTCCATTAGTAGTCAAATTCATTCCACATACTACCAATACTAATCCACCCTTGTTATATTCCAAAGGCTGTATTGCGGAGATGACTGTGGCTCTAAGGGCTCCCTGAAATATGAGCCTATATTTGCAAGTGGCCTATTGCACAGTACATGTGGTGATACAAGCAAATTATATGTGCAGAATCAATTTTTATGCAGTGTTTTTACTAATGGTCCTTAATATTCATCTGTGCTCACTGCTATTCAGGCACACAGGGAGGTGGAGCCCATCCCAGCATGCACTGGGCAGTAGGCAGGTCTCCAGTCTGTGCAGAGCTTCCTTAAGATGCAGTATTTTAAATTCAAATTACAAACATTTCTTTGCATGGAGTATTGATCATTTTGTATTGAGCTGAATGATCATCACACAGTCAATTATGGCAACATTTAATCTGGTGGCTCAGTGTAGATAATATCACTCACTTAACATTAAATGAAACTATCCATACCCACTGAGTGCAGCATACCATACCATGACTTAAGGTCCGTTTCTACTGAAGAAGTTCCTGGTACCATTTGGGGGGCAGGAACTTTACAGGAACATCCTCTCCCTTGACCCTCTCAACCGCCGTGTCTCCACTGAGAGGGTGGAGTAGGAGGAAGGTTCCTGTGAAGTTACCAGGCTCTGGATGTGACGTAATCGTTGCACAACCATTTTGACCGGGGCAATGCGGCAAAGAAACAAACAAAGAAGAACAACAGCAAAGAAGAATAAGCAGAAGTAAGAAGAAGAAAGCAGACATAAGAAAGACGATTATCATCATGGAAGGAGCTGAGGTGGTTGCTGGGTTTCTGGCTCGTCTTCATTTACGTGGCAGTGGAAGCTATGAACGAGAGGAGAAGACGTCTGCTGAGTTTTAAAAATGCCGGTTATTTTGTCGCTTTCTGTTGACGTCACATCCCGCCTTGAGTATATCCAGTCAGCACCAAGTAAACCCCAAGCCCCACCCAGGAGTTTTTCGGGGCCGTTCTGAGTACCTATTCCGAGGCAGGGACTTGTTTAGCCCCTGTAAAAGTTCCAGAACTCTGTCCTTCAAGGGTGGTTCCTGCGGTGGAGACACGCACCAAAGGCCCCGGCCCCGTAAAATTACCCCAAAGTTCCTGCGGTGGAAACGGGCCTTTAGTCATACCAAAGATTAGAAAAACAACAACACTGGGCCACAGGGGGAGCCACAGCGATCGGTCACATTTAAGCCATTTTCAAGCATTTTTCTGTTGTTATAGAGCCACCCAGTTGCCAATTAGAGTTAAATTTCTCCAGTCACCTTGACGCACCCTGTTCTACATATCTACCAAGTTTAGTAAAAATCGATATGGTGGTTAGGCCTAGATAAGAAATTAGTTCTCTAGCGCCCCCATTTTGTTTGATGGGGTCAATAATGGAGGGGTCCCCTCAGATTATGTGTGGTCATATGCCTACAAAGTTGCGTGGTGATCGGTGAAACCCTTGAGATGTTATACACCTTTATGTGATGAGCCACGCCCTCCGCAATATTCATTGCCTTATAGAAGCTCAGTTTTAGTAAGTTTTCCAACTTTTGCCAAGAGGGAACTTTAGATATTGGTCCCTAGATTATGTTCACCGAGTTTCATGCAGATCAGTCAAACTTCCTAGGAAGAGATCGATTTGAAGTGTTTTTCAAAATCTACATAACCGGAAGTTATGGTTTCTTGGGGCAAATTTATTCCTCATGAGGAGAGGCATCTCTGTGCAAAGCTTCATGTCTCTACGACATACGGGGCATGAGATATGCCCATTCAAATTTTGCAATTTCATTCGGTTGCTATAGTGCCCCCCTTTGGCCAATTGATGTAATATTGCTTCATTCACATCCTCCCATGACCCTCTACCACTGTGCCAAATTTCACATGGATTGACCAGGTCAGTGAGGAGAAAAACGTGGAACAGACACACAGACAGAGTTTTCGTCATTATATAGTAAGATATTAGCATAGGACTGGCCGATTTACAATTTAGATTTTGAGTGGCCTAAAAGAAGTTAACAAACAGTTCTGCACTAAATGTATCACCATGTCACTACATCAGTATAAATTCCATCCCATCAGACAGCAATGGAGTTTCATGCCACTGCCCCAGACTCCTGACATTCACTGTATCCATCAACGTCAGCCTGTAATCAAAATCAGCCCATCCAGTCACGTCACAGCCTTTGCTACAGACCTACCCAAACATAAGACAACCTGTGAACACTGGGACAACCTGTTTGCATGGCTTTGAGTTGATTTGTTTGAAAGATAACAAGCAGCTGCACAATTTGCATCCAGGCAGAGTTGCCATGGAGAAGGAGCCTTCTTGGTCAAGTCATGGTATCTGTTATTTCTCTCAGTCACATCAATCACTGTCCTCCTGTCCTGTCTGTATTTAAGGCTCTTTTTAATTGATACCAAACTAGACACAAACTCCACAAACACTTCTACCTCCGACTAAATAGCAGCGGTAGCTAATGAAGGGTGTAACTATCAAATATAAGAAATGGCTTAGTTTAAAGAGCCAGCAAACTGTTTCCTTCAATAATGGGAATGTTCCTCCAACACACTCAATATTTTGGGTTTTCAGCAAAATTCCACCATTTCACATACAGTATATAGCATATCAGACTATTGTTCAGTTTCAAATGTCAACTCTGTTGTTAATCCTCATTAGTTTATGTAGATTTTGGCTCCCTTTTTGCAGACTCTCTGTGCTTTCATTTTGTTGTCTTTGTTTAGCAACTTTTGAACTGTCCTTCACCACATGCATGTTATCTCTCTATCAGCACAAATGCAGTAGTATAAAGCTGCCAGGAACCCAAAATACAAGAAAATAACCCACACCCATATAAGAATGCACACATACTTAGTCATAATGGCTTGAAATATTACTATAAAACAGTTCTAGATTGTAGAAATAAGGAGTAAGCCAGGTGAGGCCATGGTGTGAGTGATTTTAGATCAGCTATGGGACATTGTTAGGCACGATGGCTTATTTTTACTATACACACAAATGCAAGATGAAAATGTGAAAAATATAACTATAATATGGTTTATTTACATGTAAACTGATTTTATATTCTTTTTCATAGAAAGTCTATATGTGTTCAAAAAATATTTAATGGTTTACAGACCCCCACATCATAACTTTCAACTGGTTTTCTCAGCTTGTTTCCAGATGATACATATATATATATATATGTATATATATATATATGTATATACACACATATATATTCACCAATAAATATTTAGCCTCCAGATGGTGTGTTTATAAATTGCTGCCACATTAGGAATATATAGCGTGCTGCAGGGATGATGATTTTGTCTTTTTAGGCCGACCTGGAGGTTAGCATCAGCCTGATTGCATCGTCAAATAGTCGATTGAATTTTTCCACTGGATTTTGGATTATTGCAGAAAATCAGCTCTGTGGCAAACAAATGTTTATGATAGTAACGATACTGACTTACATTTTGTTCAGCAATATAACCTTCATAAATGAACACCACTTTTATGATTTTAGACACGTAAACACAGTCGCCAGGAATAAAAAACTAATGTTTGGCTACAAATGAACTACACCATGATGTCATCGGCATGATGACTTTTGCCCCCAATGCAAATTTATTTTTCCTAGGTTGGTGAAGGCATAATCCGCCCTACTTTACCTCACTCTGCTTCTGATTGGCTTACCCTGATATTCCCTAACCAAACGTATGCCTCTTTCTTAATCCTAACCAACCCAACCAATAAAGGAAACAAGTACTGGCCAATCAGAGGGAGAGTAGGGGGGCCATGCCTTTGCCTTCCAAGGAAAATAAAATTTGCATACCTAAGAATCTCTGGTCTTCTTAAGACCAATTATTAGCAGCCACCTTTTTAAAACAAATAAAGGCCTCAAAATTCAGGAGTGGGGTATTCACTGACATATTGATTTGTCGAACAAAATGTTAAAGTCTCTAGCTTGTGTTAACCACAGACTTTATTTGAGACATTTAACCAAAAACCCATTCATTAAAAACATAGACTTCAAGATAAAGGAACTGGAAGTGCTAAAATGGTAACTCATTTGCGGGATTTAGGACTCCTTCCTGCACTCTATCACATAATGTAGTGTGATATATGGCCATCAAAGAAATCCCATTGTTTACTATGTTCTCGCTACACTCTTACTCCACCCAAAATATAAGTTAGTTCTTTTTCAGGCAGGCCAACAGTGACTTTTGGACACCAACCTAACAGAGCAAGACTGAAAGTTTCGATAATCAATATAGCTGTAGTTGGGATCTACTCTAAACTCGATGGTTTTCTTACATCCTTTCAGGCATTTGTCAGCTCTCTCAACACTGCAGCCATAAAACCCCATTAGGTTCTCCAATGACACATCTTTCAACTCTTTGGTTTATGGCCCACAGTCAAGTAGTGCTCTCTACACCTCTCCAAAATTCAACAGCAACTTCTACATAGTAAATTCATCAATCGTCAAATGTCATCAATAGTTTGTGGCTGAAACACACTTTCCCAATAAAATGAGTCCCCACAATGTGGAATAGTACTGAAAGGTTCTGGTATCAGCACTCCACAACTGTGGGTGCACGGACAACCAACAGCAGCCAGGTAAAATATTAACTTTTGTTCTGCTGACAAGATGCTGCCACTGCTTCCTTATTAGTGGAAACGGTTGAGAGTGTATGCGCGTCCAGATGTCACCCTAATGGAGAAGAGGAGTTTGATCGTTACCCAAGCAACCCATAAGTCAAAGCCCAACATCTATGGTATTCTGACCAATCAGACTAAGAGCACTGCAACGAGATGTTTAACCTTTGGAGGATTATCCAGTTAGAGCTGTCATTCCCAAGATACTAAACACCAACTTTTTCTTGGTGTTGCCATAACAGCATTCTAATAGTCTCTCCGTTACTTTAAGTACATTTTTGTCTCCTTCTTGACGATTTCCTGTTTGCACTTTTGGAGAAGAATGTCACAGTGTACAGTAATGGATCTACCTTTGGGGAGCTACTCATAAGGTCTAAGATTTCATCAAGACTGTTGACTATAGACTGTTAGTCCTTCCTGAAGTGATTAACCTCTTTCCTGAGATTAAGCATCAGTCTTTGGGTCTATTCCGGTGCTGGAGGAGGTTGATGGCGAGGTTCCAGTTTGTGCCAGTCAAATTGAGCTGGACAGCATTTTTGGCTCTGGCCCACTTCACATATCTGCTGATTGGGGCCACCATCTTCCAGATCCTGGAGCGAGAGGCTGAGAACAACAACCGAAACCACTTCCAACTGGAGAAATTGAATTTCTTGGCTAACTACACCTGTCTGGATGGACCAGCCTTGGAGAAGTTTGTTGAGGTTCACTTTTTTTACAGTTCTTGAAGGAATTAAGTACAATGTACAATGGAGAGTTCTTGAAATGTGGAACATTCACAGTTTATTATGTGAGAGTAATCTGGATTTTGTCATTTTAGACCAAATTTGTCAGCTTCTTTTTAAATGCTTGTCTGTCTTTATCAAAATAGTCATGATTGACAATAGGTTGTATACAAGTCTGTACATCACTGAGTAAATATGAGGGCTCATTGAATTCTGAATGGCAGAGAAATTGACAGATCGATTTTATGATTGGGTTAGGTACATAGCAATAAATGGTGTTACAGTAACCTGACCTAAAAAATCAATAAGTGTGTCATAATCCAAAGTATTTACCAAAGTGATTGATAGAGTAAATGGTAGGCATTAGTGAGGTACGTGTGACCTTATTCTGGGATTTTAATACACTTCTTTGTGTGTTTGCAGGTTATTTTGGATGCCTGGGAAAAGGGAGTGAACCCCTCGGGTAACTCAACAAACCCCAGCAACTGGGATTTTAGTAGCTCCTTCTTTTTTGCAGGCACAGTAGTCACAACTATAGGTGAGCATTGTTACATATCCATCAGTGTTTGAACCGTCTGATGCGATACAGTAAGGACAAATCATTGTTTTCTCCACAGGCTATGGCAACCTCTCCCCCAGCACTGTATCTGGTCAAGTGTTTTGTGTGTTTTACGCACTGTGTGGAATCCCACTGAACCTGGCCTTCCTCAAACAACTGGGAAAATGTCTCACCATCCATCTGGGGCGACTGGAGAGGGGAATGGTCTCAGTTGTTCCACACAAGGTACTTACTGATTCCCATAGAGTCATAGTGGATTCACTTGAGAAATAAATAAGTAAATGATTTCTGCTCTGTTTTTCAGAACTAACAAGATTATTATCTCATTATTTTTAGAAAAACCAAAAATTTTCCATGAAATTCTTTCTTAAAATTCTGAGATAATAGTATTTGTTAATTCAGAAAAACAAAAGCAAAAATTTTGCATAAAAAGCATTGAATTCTTTCTCAGAAATACAATATAATTGTCTTGTTTATTCAGAGAAACAACACCATATTTTTTCATGAAAACCTTTGTCATTATTCTAAAACATCAACAACAATACTTTTTTTTTATAATTCTAAAATAAAAATCTTGTTTATTCTGAAAAGACGGGCAATTTTTGTTGTTTTTTATTTATTTTGTATTGTTTTATTTTTTTGTTATCTTAAGTGAATGCATCTTCCCTTGATTTCCCCCCAAAGCATCTGATTCATAGTCATTTTTGCTTTGCCTTTGATACAAATCACTGTACAGATTAAGATATGCCAAGAATAGGTAATGATCCTTTTTGTCATGCCCAACTGACGCCTATGGATCTCACATTTCTTTTCTAGCAAACAGTTGAGGCTCTGGCAGTGAGTTTGTTCTTCATCGCAGGCAGCGTGCTGTTTTTGGTCATCCCCCCTCTGCTGTTCAGTTATGTGGAAGGCTGGACGTTTGGCGAGGGCTTCTATTTCGCCTTCATTACTCTCAGCACCATTGGTTTTGGAGACTATGTGGTGGGTGAGTAGAGAGAGTGAACAAGCACTATGTGGTAGAAAGACCACAGCGGACCACAGTAGAAAAACAATGCCTTTTAATGTTTTGAGATAATTACTGTGTTGTCATTTTAATGTATAAAGCGAGACATGTTTCTGTCTGGGATTAATAAACATGTTCTAACAAGGTAATGTCGACTCTTGTAGGGACTGACCCAGGCAAGGATTACATCTCTCTGTACCGTAGCCTTGCAGGCATATGGATCATCTTTGCCTTGGCTTGGCTTGCTCTCATCCTCAACATAGGAGCCAGAATAATGGAGCATGCGATTGGCCTGACTCATCCAAGCTTTAAAAAACAAGAAGAGGAAGAGGACGTGTCATCCAGTAAACTAGAGGACACATCAAAGATCTGACAGTGGACTGTGGACGGGACTATCTACATGTAATATTCACTGTATAGAATATATTTAGTGTGACTGTTTTATTGTGATGCATGGTACAATAAGGAAGAGGATTGGGGCCACATGTGAAAAATGTATTTGAATTTTGAGTCAGAATTTGATTTAAGTCAAAATTCTGACTTTAAACTCAGTAATGTCAGAATTTTGAGTTTAAAGTCAAACTTCATGTGGCCCTGATCCTGCTGACCAATGTATCAGCTAATAGCAAAAAATGTTTTTGTAAGGTAGCCTATTCACCCCAGCATGTTTATTCTTTCTTTAAATGCTTGACTTTATAATTGTGTTTCATCTTGTGGAAAATTGGTTTATTATATTTTACAAAAAGCTGGAAAAACATTACAGGTTTTGTTTAACAATTCTACCTCAATTAAGCCAGAGTCAGAGTCAGTACAGCAGATCAGGGCCCGTATTTATCACACTTCTAAATATTACATTTAAGTTGCAAGTTGCAAGTTTCTTAAAGACTTACTTTTAAAATAAAATAATAGGACATTTATTTTTTTTTGTCAGCTTGATAAATAAAGGCCCAGAGTAAAAGTCTCTATACGAAAATGTGTATTTTGCCTCAGGTAGGAATCCTGTAATGTTTTTCCATCCTCGGACAACAGCAAGAGTTGTGAATAACTGCTGAACAATGAATCTGTGTCGTTTGTACTCTTTGTTTGTGTACTTTTTGTTAAATGTTGCCCCACTGCATTATTACAATGTTCTAATGTCACACTGCGCAACTGTCCGTGTGTATGCATGTTTGTGTGTGTGTGTGTGTGTGTGTGTGTGTGTGTGTGTGTGTGTGTGTGGTCATGTGACGCCACATCTGGGTTTGTGTACTGATGGTAAACTCCAGTGAATTGAGCACGGAGGGCTATCTTGAACAAACACATTAATCAAGATGGTGGTGTGAGGTTGATCTGAGAGCACACACAACTGATCCCAGAAAGGCAGCTGGAATACAGGAGGATGGATTTTGCCTGTCATCCATTTTTAATATGTTTACTTTATCCCTCATTAAGGAAGCAAAAACGGTCACTTTCTGTCTTAAATCAGTCCCGCAGTCACCAGAGGGAGAATGTTGGCATTGCACGTTTCTGTGAACCACGGATATGTTACATCTGAATTACATATGTAGCATATCAACATTTCTACAGTGAAGATGGTAGTAGCTTAAATTACATGTATGTGAGCTGACTTTAGGGGATGGTGGATGGTGCAGGGTGAGACGCCGCCTAGCAGCAGACCTACTGTTTGACAACAATCAACAAAAGCGGTTGTCTTTTACCGAGACATTGCTGCATTTCCAGCTGTGATTCCTAACCCTAACCAACTGGCTTTTGGTTAGGGTTGGTTGGTTTTAACATATTTGCTACATACGACACGTACAGATATTCCGTATCTGTGGTTTGAAAATATGTCAACATTTGTTCAGGCGACTGGGCTGACATAAACATAACTGAAAGTGAAATATAGTCTGATGTATCATGTGCAGTAGTTACTTCTCTCAGTTCTCGAGATTGCGCAGTGCCTCTAGAAACCACACCCCAACTACTGTAACTGGTCTTGAATTAACTCCCACCATAACTAATCAAACTCCATGACTTCATGGACAACGGCTCACTTTGGCCAGACACTCCAAAAATTGACCTCACCCATAGTCCTGCCTACAGCCCAACCTCTGTTAGTGTGTCTCTCCCTCTTCTTATTTTGCTCCACTGGATTTGCATGAAATGCCATTGGAGTGATTGAAACAGTAGTGCAGATGGAGGTTCATTTGCCTGCAATGCATGGAAAGACGAGAAGCCAAGCAGGTAAACTCTCAGTCCTCGCTTTCCCCCGGCTGCAGAGGTTGAGACGCTAAGCTTGCCTGGATCCAAAAGTGCCACCAGGGGAACCGAGATGGGAATAAAGGAAGTGTTCAACTTGGCGAGGGTGCCCTCCATCCTCATGCTCGGTGTGGTTTACATCACTTATGTGCTGATCGGCGGGGTGATTTTCTGGAAGTTGGAGGGAGATCTCGGAACGAAGGACATCAGTCTTTTACTGTCGCACAAAAAGAGGGTGCTCGCGACGTACACCTGTCTGAACCAAGAAGGCCTGGAGGAGGTGGCTCAGGTGAGGTGTGGGACATCAAAAGAGGCAGGTTAATAAAGTAGAATCCTCACCCCTTCTGCCAGGATGAGGACGCAGGGCCAGCCCAAGCCTCCATGGGGCCCTAAGCAAAATTTGATTTTGGGGCCCTCTATTACTGCCAATAATACTGATTATTGATCATTCACACACCTACTGTAAGTTATCTCATGTTCTACTCTAGCCATGTTTCCATCAGCCTGTTTAGATGCGCATCTAGAAGTATTGCATCGGAAAATTATGATGGAAACGCCATAATTCGAATTAAAATCCCCTCATTCGCACAAACTAAAATACGCTCGCTTTAGCAGGGTTTTGGTTGATTCGAAAAAATGTTGATTCGCAAAACGGGGGATGGAAACAGTTATGTTCGAATTAAGTCTGACGTAGCGCACCTCTCTCCATGGTGATATCCACACTCCGGGTCGGGAAGGCGGTAATGCATTTACAAGCTGGTTGCCAACCGCCAGAAAACGTACAAGAAGAAGAATGCAAGACTTGTTGTGTTTCCGGTTCTGCGGAAAACTCGCGCAAGTTAGTAGTTTTCACCAAAGTCCGTACATTTAATTGAAACACACAGGATTCGTATTTCTTTTAATGCACATTTCCCAATGATTCAAATCACTTTTGGATGGAAACATAGCCAGTGCCTCCTCCAAAATACTGTAACAGTGCTCCTGGGGAAGTTTCATGTAACTTATGAGCATAACTTAATAGGGAGTTGATGTAAAAGGAATATGTTTATTTACTCACATAAATTACTATGCTCTGCAGCAAACAACATATCTCAAACTATAAGTTAACTAAGTTAATTCATTAATGCAAAAACATATTGCTAGCAAACGTCACCGCATCTGTAATTAGTGTTAGTTGTTATTAAACATTTGGTAAAAAATGTTATCAAAAACGTTGTTTTGATGCCAAAAAGCGACCCAGAATATATACACCAAGAATCAACTTATTCAAAGTATTGCACAAACACAAAAACGTTAGCTTGAATAGTAAGCTATCTAACCTACCAGTTAAAAGAGAAATGTCTCTAGTTCTGAACTAATGTTAGCTAGCTAATTTGCTATTATAGGCTAACGTAGTTGGAACAAAATATCAACAATAATTAGGGACTTTCCTAATTTGAGGAAACTTTTCAAAATCTCTGTGACACCAAACGTTACATTACCAAGACATGCAAACATACCTTTATCCTGTTCTCTTGTTGAGAACAGGCTCTGATTGAAGGGAGAGCTAACCACGCCCACTTAGGAGACAGGAAGAGTAACCGTTTTCATAACATTGGATAAGCCCACGGTGGGGTATCTGCTTTATCCAATATCTCTGCTTATGCCTTGGGCCGGCTCTGTGAGGAGGGGATGTGGAAAATGTTTTAAACAGCAGTATAGGCTACACAGTCGTATAGATGTCAGCATGTTACACTCAGGTGCTAATTTCCTTTTGCCAGGGACATTCTAACATGTAAATGTAAGGGGGTCACTTCACAGTGACACAGCTAAAATCTGCTTGTATCCAAATCAGCCAGTCAGCCTGTGGCTTTTACAGAGAGACCACTGGATTTACATCTGGACCACTGCTTTTACACAGTTTCAGTAATTGACCGTTTACTCCTTTTAAGTGGCCAAAACAGCCACTTTTACTGATTTAAATAACTCATATTTACAAGTAGAAATTTGCTTAATTTGCTTAAACAATATCATCAAACTAATCTGTCACTAAAAACAGTTCCAAGCAATGGGCGGCCATTTGCAATCACTTGTAGGACAGCAGCAACTTCTCCCATGCAAATATCAGCAGGGATGGAGCCAGATGTCCAANTCAAGTGGTATGTTCATCTGAGGATTTTTTTTTTTTCCCATTTAAGTATATGCACTATTTTTCAAACCATTTTAGATGATAAAATGTCAAAGAATCTGTACAAAACGTGATAGTTGCCAAAGAACAAAATCGTCCTGTAGAGCCTACATCCTCTTTTGGATCTAATTGTTCTGCAACTGTCTTCAACATTCTGAAACTATGATGCAACAAATGTTGAGGGTGACTAATTTTCGCTCCTGCCACCAAAAAAAGAGGCACAATATTTATGATGTTACTAGGAATTTTGTATAAACAGCGTCACTAATCTTAAAACCTATGTGCTAAAGACAGTGGCATAAGGTAGTTATGATAGGCTCCAGTGTGCGCTATTATGACAGGTCCTAGTGCATGCTATTGTGCACATATCGTCACATGATCAGAGACTTGACATTGGATAACATCAATATACCTATTACTCAGCAATCTGTATATCTTACTATATAATGACAAAAACTCTGTGTGTGTGTGTGTGTGTGTCTGTCTGTGTGTCTGTTCCACGTTTTTCTCCTCACTGACTTGGTCAATCCATGTGAAATTTGGCACAGTGGTAGAGGGTCATGGGAGGATGTGAATGAAGCAATATTACATCAATTGGCCAAAGGGGGGCGCTATAGCAACCGATTGAAATTGCAAACTTTGAATGGGCATATCTCATGCCCCGTATGTCGTAGAGACATGAAACTTTGCACAGAGATGCCTCTCCTCATGAGGAACAAATTTGCCTCTAAAACCCATAACTTCGGGTTATATAGATTTTCCACCATTTTGACCAATCTGCATGAAACTCGGTGAACATAATCTAGGAACCAATATCTAAAGGGGAACTGCCCATTGGTTCGACAGCCCATTGGTTTGACATCCCATTGTTCCGACCATATTAAACTCATTGTTCCGAAGTCCGTTCTGAAATCATCATGATGCCCTGTGGTTAAGGTCTGGTTAGGTTTAGGCACAAAAACCACTTGGTTAGGGTCAGGAAAAGATCATGGTGTGGGTTAAAATGAAAAACAAAGTGATAAACACATAAGCCGTGAGCCTGCTCCGCCTCAAGCCGGTCGCGGTGCACCATACGCCCGCCGCAAGCCATTCAGCACCGCGGACAGTCGGACTAATGGTTTGTCGAACCAATGACATGGACCCATCTAAAGTTCCCTCTTGGCAAAAGTTGGAAAACTTACTAAAACTGAGCTTCTATAAGGCAATGAATATTGCGGAGGGTGTGGCTCATCACATAAAAGTGTATAACATCTCAAGAGTTTCACCAATCATCACGCAACTTTGTAGGCATATGACCACAGATAATCTGAGGGGACCCCACCATTATTGACCCCATCAAACAAAATGGGGGTGCTAGAGAACTAATTTCTTATCTAGGCCTTACCGCCATATCGATTTTTACTAAACTTGGTAGATATGTAGAACAGGGCGTCTTAAGGTGACTGGAGAAATTTAACTCTAATTGGCAACTGGGTGGCGCTATAACAACAGAAAAATGCTTAAAAATGGCTGAAATGCGACAGATCGCTGTGGCTCCCCCTGTGGCCCAATGTTGTTGTTTTTTTCTAAGTTTTGGTATGACTAAGTTATGGTATGGTATGCTGTACATAATCACGGAAACTGTCAGCGTGTCATTCTGTCAGTCAGTCATTCTGTCTGTCCCATGTCAGAAAATATAAACATGACAGAGATGGGTTTGCCTTTTTCAAGGACATATATTGTAAATGGCAATTTTTTTAATATATATTTTTTATTTATATGTTTGGTTTTTTTTTATTTAATGAGAGCCCTTCTTTGAACACTGGCATATTTTCAAGGTGGCAATCACTCATAAGGGAGTTGGAGTTGGAGTTGGAGGGTTCACCCTTTCTATGGGCCCCCCACCTCACAGTCCCCAGTGCAACCACACTGCCTGCACTGTCTATATTTACACCCCTGGCTGCAGTAGAGTTCACAGAATAAAAGTTAAGCTGACATCTGCTACGTTTGAATCAAACCTTTAACATTCGGGGCTTTTGAGAAACCATTTGAGGTTGTTGTGCAATCCTTTTCTTAGGAACTGGTGAGATTTTGTTTTAGAACATCACACCCATTCTGGAGAAAAGCATGCTATGTTGCAAGCTATTTGCAGAGTAAGAAAAACAATAGATTGATTATTCATTTTGCCATCTGATGTGTGATCTTAGATTTGCATTGTGTTAAGACTGAAATCCGGGCAGGCCGTAGAGGAGGTGCGTCCTCAGCATATATTATGGTATGAAGATATCAGATTTAATTTCAATAAAGTCTGTTTCTGAAATCAGGCAACACTTGGGATAAGGAAGTACTACATCATAATTAATAATAAACTTGCAGTCTTAGATAACTAGGCCATAGGTCTCACACTGTTATGTATTTCTCTTGGAGTAATTTCCCACACTGGTGATGAACTCAAGAGTTTTATGTAACAGACTGTGTCAACATATCTGCTCTGCCTGACACAGTGCTGACAGGGGTCTATGTGCCAACAGCTGTATTATATTGACCTAAAGACCCTGAAAGTTTTGGATCACTAAGTACAGGAGTTATATAACTGTGAGTCATAAAGACTGACCCAAGTCCATGGAATACGTCATCATTTCAAATGAGTAACCCAGTTGGGAATTCTTTTATCTCTTTCAGGTTGTTCAAGATGCGTCCAAGGTGGGCCTAAGTTTGAAAGGCAACTACACCACAGACGGCTTCTGGAAATTCACCAGTTCAGCTGTGTTTGCTGCCACTGTGGTCACAACTATAGGTCAGACACCATGGAATAAAACACAAGAGATTTTCAATCATGCCTCATCACCAGCCAATAGAATTGTTTGTGCAACCTAAACAACTATGATGTGATAATATCAGGCTTTAACCTGGTCAACACATCATATAAGCAGTTTTGAACTTATGTTGGAATCACTGAATCATTGTGTTTTTGTTACCTGGGAATGAGCCATTTTGTATCTACATATAGAGCGGGTCCTATTCAATGGATACTGCCATGTTGTTTCTACAGTAGCCCAGAACAGACAAATTAAACACTGGCTCTATATAGGGCCGTTTGTGTTTTTACTTCAGCCACCGTACTTCTCCTACACTCTTGACACACGGAAGTTTCAGGTCTGCAAGCTCACCTCTAGATGCTACTGAATCCCTCACACTGGACCTTTTAACGTTTGATTTATTGCCTAATTCTAGACCCAACAAAGTTGTTATTTTGTCAGTATGAATCATTTGGACTAATTTGAAAAATTACCATCTCATACAGCCTGTTTTAATTTATTTTCTTTTTTATTTTGAAGAATAGTGCTCCTCTTAGTTTTTTTCATTGTGTATTTATTTCAAGATGATTGTTAATGAACCTTTGGGGGCAATAATCAGTGAACCTGAGGACTAAGAATAAGCACTTGAACCTTCAGTATATTTGCCCAAATCTCAACTCTGTTTTGAATATCTATCTATAACATAACAATTTGGTTGGTAAAGCTCTGTGGAGGTGAAAAACTTTCTGCAATCAAGAGCCATCTGAGAGACTCATCCCTGAGCAGCAAAGTCCCTTATAGGCAAAAAGAATTGATTGAGTGATTAAACCACTTATTGAATGAGTTTTTCTTCTCCTTCCACCACACTAAGAGCTTATAGTTTTACAGGTTATGGGAACATGAGTCCGAGCTCTACTGCTGGCCAGATCTTCTGTGTGTTCTTTGCACTATTTGGTATCCCGCTCAACATGGTGGTGCTCAACAGGGTGGGCAAATACATGCTTGCTATAGAGAGGAACATCTCCGACTTCCTGGAGGGGAAGACCGGGCGAAGGGTGAGGAGATCTTTAATCTCTTAGTCTAACAGTGAAGTATGTTTCAGATCAATGTGGAATTTTTGGAATAGGGTGTAGCTGCATAGCTCCAGGCTCAGGCCCAGGTCCTCCATCAGACCCTGTACAGTTCCAAGCTTGGATAAGGAAATTGTGTACACCCTATGGTACCACCGTGATTTCACTAACCTTAGCTAGCGATGCTAATGTTGTCAGCAGACTAATGCTGAAGTAAGCTGAAATTATGTTAGTAACTCATAACTCATAAGCTTAGCACAGTTATTTACTGTTTTAATGTTACGTTACCTAACTTTATAAGGTACAGTTATATTTAAGTATTAGGTTGTATTGTTTACCATGGAGGGCAAACTAGTGACTAGCTAGCATATCTTAATGTGGCATTTCTAATATACTTATTTATTAAGGATAAGTATGACAATATAGCTGAAACATGAAACCTTACTGATTGATAAAAAAGCATGATAAACAGATGTGATTTAACTAACATGATTTTTCACCACCGGTCTGTGCCAGGCTTTGAAGCCAAGTTTTCTAGGGGCTAAACAGTGGAATTAAAACTTCTAGATCAAAAGGTTTTGGTCTGCAGATTTACATTGTGAAAAAGATATCTGTAAATCAGTGAATAATGTTTTTGATTGACTGACACATTTTTTTTTATATCTTTTTATTGATTTTCTTGAGCAACAATACAAATACAGATCAGTAGTACACATCTCTACAAGAGACAACCAGTGTGACCTAAGCGTCGAAGAAACAAGAGTAACATGGCAACTGGAACTTCATGTGATACAACAGTATTCGTATAGTGCCTATAACCCCCCCCATTCAGGGGAGTGTTGGGGTTTTGGGGCAAACCAAAAAGTGCTGTCAATGGGTCTGAGTTGATAGGTGTATTAAAAATCTCACTGAGAGATTTAAAAATATCCGACCAAAAGGCACTGAGCTGAGGACATGTCCAAAACATATGCAGGTGGTTAGCTGGGACTTGGTGACATCTGTTACATTCACTATTTTTGTCAGGGAATATTTTGGCAAGTACAGCATTAGTATAATGAGCTCTGAAAAGGATCTTGCATTGCAACAGGCCATGTCTTGCACATATGGATGAGGCGTGTACCAGACGTAGAATTTTGTCCCAGCTTTCGTCTGAGATTACAACACCAAGATCCTGTTCCCAAGAGAACTTGAGAGAGGCAGTCGGGGATGAATTCAGGGAGCTGATTCTGTCAAAAATAACAGAAACAACTCGCTTCTGGTTCGGTGACAGTGTAAGGAATTGGTCAATTTCGGCTTCAGGCAGGCGATTGGGAAAATGCGGAAATTGTTTCTGCACAAAATGACGAAAAAGGTGAGTGTTGGGCAGGTTGAATTTAGCAGAAAGCGCTGCAAAAGAGGAGAAGGAGTTGTTCTCGTATAAGTCGTTTGAAGCTATGAGACCATTAGCAGCCCAAAAACGAAAAGCAGGATCTGAAAGAGAGGGGGGGAAGATATGATTATTTAAGATTGGAGCACAGGTCAAAGCCCTGTGGAGTCCATAACGTTTCCGGAATTGGAGCCAGATCTTAATAGCGTCAGAGACAACAGGGTTGTTGGAGATGTTTGACAAATTAACAGGGAGTTGTGAGCATATTACAGAAGAGAGTGAGCTTTTGGATGAAGAGAGCTCTATGTGGACCCAGGGGGGGCAGTCAGCGAGTGAATTACAGTTAAGCCAGAAAAGGAGTTTTGCAATGTTACAGGCCCAGTAGTATTGATGAAAGTTTGGAAGGGCGAGGCCGCCTTCCGATTTGACTGACACATTTAACTCTCGGGATTTGATCCGATAACATTTTGAAAGTCTAGGAGAGCTACGCAATTAAATCATTTTATCCCCATTGAAGTTAGCAGGTGGCTAAACCAGAAGTTAGTCGCTCAGCTAAAAGTCTGTAACGTGACCAACTTTTTTTGGCTTCACGAGCTGTTGAGGAATGAAAGGGACCCTGCCTCAAACATTGTATCCAGTTATGTTTATACATCCATAGTCCCAACACCAGAGGTAGGCCTCAGCCTGGAGCTCTGCAGCAGGACCCAATTTTGTCTCATACATTTCAAGTGGACAGATCCTTGGAACCTGACTTGTTTCTACCTTCTGTATCTCACTGCAGAAGTGTACCCGCTTTTTTGTCCACCTGGTGTCATACCTATCTGGAGCAGTGCTCTTCTTTGTTGTGCCCATGATTGTGTTCCAGCAGCACGAGGGCTGGACTTTCTCCCAAGCCATCTACTACTGTTTTATTACTCTGAGCACCATTGGCTTCGGAGACTTTGTGGCAGGTACAGTGCAGCAATCACACTTCAGTGCTGATGGTCAACAGAAAGTAGACTGCATAACTTAACTCTATTTCTTAGTGTTTCCTCAACACATTATGCTTTGCTTTGTATTAACTGATTCTTTCCTTCACAGACAGTAATCCAGACAAAACTTACCCAGAGTGGTACAGCATCCTCATGGCCTCATGGATCTTCTTTGGCCTGGCCTGGCTGGCCCTCCTCATCAACCACTCTATTGACATCCTGGAGCGACTCAACACTCACTGCAAACAGCGGTGGGGTGGACAGAAGCCAGAGGAAGAGTCTGGCACCACAGAGGGCGACAACCCAGAAACACAGCTGGAGGAGGAAGACGAGATCAAGAAGCCTCCAGTGAGTCAGTAAACTAAGGAAAAGGTGAAGATTCCCGAGAGTTGACCTAATTATAGAATTATCTCTCTGTAGATCAAGACGTGGGAAACAGGCATAATTTATGGGTTATGGCCAAGTCATGGCAGGATGTTTGTGTGTGTGTGTGTGTGTGTGTGTGTGTGTGTAACAAGACTGTAAATGTTGAGAGTCTGAGATGATTAAATATGTGACTGTGCATTGGTTTGTCAGTTTTAATCCCTTTCTCTTTATCTGCCGCTAAAATATTGACTCATTTTTGTTGAGTTTGTTTGTTTGTTTGTTTGTTTGACGGCATGCAACATCCACATGCTGTTTACTCTGTTAGCACTTTGTTTCCCAATCTGTAAACACGTTACTCTTCACTCTCACATGCTTGTTAGTCTACTTGGTTGATAAAGAATATCCTCTCCCAGTGAGTGGCACACCTTTCTGACCACAAACCAAGTCATTTACCAACTCAGTGGCATTTTGAAATTGTTTGTCTGAGCCTACCTGGTACTTCTGAATGACTGTTGATGCCCACAATCAAAACCACAGTCAATTGCAAATACATGTAAATAATGTGATTTGTTTTGCAACATAGATGTACTTGAATAAGTCTGTCTTGTTTACTGACTTGTTGACTTGTTGGAAATGAACATCCAAAAATAATAGATTTATCGTCAACATATTTTCAGGGGAAATTGGTGGTATTTAAGTATCTAAAGATTCTGTGTGCAACATTCAGAGCATTAATAAAGCAGCAAACCACTATTTGCTGTAAAGATATAGTGGTGTAATGGTGTCCTGAGTAGAGAATGAAGTCAACCGGGCCCCAGGAACAGTGCCAGGTTTTGAAGCCAATCTGACATGGTTGCCAAAATGTACAATTACAACTTCTGGGTCTGTCACATGATGCCATTGGACTTACATTTGGAAAGAGACATCTGTAAGTCAGTGGATAAATTTTTTTGAGTGTCAAAATGACCCATGTCACTATCAGGACTTGATCCAAACAGTCCGAAACATTTTGAAAGTCTAGAATAGCAGCATGATTAAGTAATTTTATCCTCATTCTAATTAGCATAGGGCTAAGCCAGAGGTTAGCCGCTCGGCTGGTCTCTAGTCAGAAGACAATGATACCCAGTGTTAAGGCAAATTTATTTATAAATTTCAGTAACAAGGCAACTCAAAATGGTCAATGATGCAGAAGTTCTGTTTGATTTTATACCTGGGAGACTGAACTCTTTTGGCTTCATGCGCTGCTGAGCAACTTTCATGGGAATGAACATAGCTCCACCATGTGTTTTAATCCGAGCTTCTCTGTGGATTGTTGCGGTAAACCTGTTCTGCTGCGTTTGCATGTTAATGCCTGTTAGCTCATGGCAACTACTTTGCACGCTGTTGATATGGCCGTTACCACTGATATCAGGACGGCAATGTTGTGGAAGCGCAGTGTCCACTCTCCAGGTACCCCCTGGTTAACACTGTTAGCTCTGTAAGCACTGTTGCTGTTGTTGAGCGCTGTTTATGGAGTTTGCCTCGTTAGCTGCTAGCAGCGGGCTCACCCACCTCCATGTTGAGAACTGTGTAGAGACAACTCATCTGCTCTGAATTTTGCATAGAACCCCTTTAAATAATTGTAATGCAATAAATAACTTTACACAAGGCAAGTTTATTTACATTGCACATTTAATTGTATTTCACTCAGATTTGAAGTACTTGTAATAAGTATTGTTCTGACAATAGTTGTTGACAACACTTTAAACATAATATTAAAATACAAACAATTAATATCTTAATATACCAATACTGAAAGCTTTTTACTGTACTTTGTTTGCTTTTAACTTTATGTGATTGAAACTTGCTTGAACCCTGTTGCAATCTTGAGTTGATGCAGCATATTAATACTGAAGAAATTCTGTACTATTATTATTTTTATTTTACTTTAAATTTTTACATATTCATTCACAGCCTGTAGGATAGCATAGCTGCTCTGTGCTGAAATTAGCTTTGTGTCCACTAGGTGGCATTACTATACTAACACTAGAGAATTGAAGCATTCAAACCAGAGGTAAAGCAGTAAATACTCACTGTATAGTGAATAATATTGTTATCGTAGAAACCATAGTGATCACATCCTCACATACAATACCTTGCTACTTTTCACATTTTTACGTTTCACTCAAAAGGATATATAAACCCAAACACAATCTATACAGCAACTTTCATTAAATGTAATTTCTTTTCCTTATTGCATATTTAAATAAATGTGTACAGTCATGATTTCATAACATGTTTTTGCTTTTTTGCTGCATAGTTTTCCTGACAAAGTCCCAGAATAGAACAATACAGGACCTAAAGGCACAAACGCCTCTTGAGGCTCATATATCACAGAGCAAGGCCGGCAACACTGAGGAGGAGTGAATGACAAAGACAGACGGCAGCAGCAGCAGCAGGGACGAGAGGGTGGAAAATGAGAGAGTGCTGCTGGGGAGATGGCTAGTAAGACAAGGACAAGTTGGTGCAAAAGGGGAGATATTCGAGGGAAAGTGCAAAATTCCAGACAGTAAAGGGATGAAGGATTTCTGTTTTTTTAGCTGTATGGACAGTGGGAAGTATGAAAGGGAAATGGAGTGAGAGAGGTCTGTGAATTGTACAACAAAACACCACATACCTGTTTGGCCACGGTTCAATGAGAACTCAGCATGTGTGAGAGACCGGTGCCCCTTACTTGTTCTGTTTAATCGACCAGTTGCTTATCCTGCATACTGTCCACAGTGGGACAAGGCTCTGAAATTGAGGTTTCATTATCATCATCAGCAGCAGCAGCAGCAGCAGCAGCAGCAGTAGCAGTTTTTATTAATTTACCAAAGAAACACTGTCTCCAAGCACCAGACATCAAACTGCAGATATTATAAACTACCATGGATGTTGGGTTGCTATAAATTACTGCTGTGACAGGACTAAATCTGGTACACAGTGGAAGCCTGAGAGAACTTGTGATTGTGTGAAGTTCTCACACTTTATCTCATAAGAATTGTATGGAGGCTGTGTGAAGCAAATGAGAAAAAAAAGTCTGGTGATCCATTCTCAAAGTCTGATCTGAATTGTTTCCTGGCAAAGGTATTGCCAAGAAATTCTTTCGAATTTCCTTTTTTTACATCTGTGAAACAGGTGGGACAAAATGTTGAAACGCCAGCATAGTTTTTGTAAGTTACTTATTTTAAATCTGTGAAAAAAAGGTTAAAATAAATAAATAAATAAAAATTGCAGGGGTTTTTTTATATGTTTTTCCCCAAGTTGATTTTTCTAAGCATTTGTTGCTGTAATACTCATTTCGGCCACAAGAGGCTGAAGTGCACCACTATATTCTAAATATTCTAATTGTAATCTGAACTAATGGTAGATTATTGCTCATAAACACATTTCTAGCCAAAAGAAAGATATGATATAATGTTACATATTGCTATAACCTTGTACCCTTGGTTTCGAGTTAATAGAGAAATTAAAACTCACATTAAAGAAAACACAAATGCTTTTAGTCCTATCGAGAACATGTTGTAGAGGTCAGCCTCTTGTGTTCAAAATGAGTGCTACAACAACAAACACTTGAAAATTACCCCTGAAATATAT